AAAAAAATTTTAACAGCTACACAATATCGCACAGCATAGATATTCCATAATTCAACCAGTCCCTCACTCATAGATATTTAGGTCATTTCCAATCTTTTGCTGCTATAAACAATGTATATATCCTTGTACATATGTCTTTCTACACATGTCCAAGTATATCTTTAGGATAAGTTCCTAGAATTCAAATTGCTGGAACAAAGGTAAATGCATTTTTTTACTTTGACAAACACTGCCAAATTTCAGGGTAATTCTTAACATGATGTCTACATACCTGCTAGGTATACATGATTGGGTGTAGAAGAGTGTCCATAAACCCTTGAAACTGTATGAAAAATGTCAAATATGTGTTTATTTTTCTCTAGAGAGGATTCATGGCTTTAACCAGATTCTTAAAGGGGTCTGTGACTCTAACAAAGATGAGAACGACTGAGTCAACAGGTCATGGTACAGCATCAAAAAGCAGCAACAGCAGAAGCTGAAGCTAAGCAGGACCCAGAAAATGCTTTCCTGAGCCCCCTGGAGAGGAGTGAGTGGGAAGATGCTGGGGGCTGATTATATAACCGGGCTTGTGTTTGTAGGACCTCCTCCAGGGGAGCTGGTTCAACCACACATAAATCAGGAGAACTTGTTCCCACTTATCACGGAGCCCCTCTCCCTTAGCTTCTGGTAATAATTTAATGCTACCTCCTGGGAGGGGGGAAGTGAGGGCCTTAACCCAGAGGATTGAATCCACAGTGACTGGGCGGGAAGGCCTTTCTGATGACTTCCCAGAAGTCCACTCATGGGGCCTCCTGCTGCTCATGCTGCTATACCTAGGCCTTAAAGGGTTAATGACATTGAGAGGGGAAAGGTGGAAGGTCTTTTGCAGAATAATTTACAGTCCGGCCTTTAGCTGCAATTTATCGCTGCTGCTGATTGTGGATAAAACATTCACTCTGGGTTTTATGCCTAGCAGTCCAGACCAAGAAGCAGTAGGCAATTTACCGACCTCAAACATCTTGAACCTTTAAAAAGAATTCTTCAAAGGCAGTGGTTCAGGTTCCCATAGCAAAAGCTCTCAGTCCAGTTCAAACACAACTGAACACGACAAGTTACTCCCAACAAAACCGACAACCGGCCTTAGATGGAAATCCTAAACTCCTGGGGAAATTAATTTCTTTTTTTGGTTTGATTTACATATATTGTAAAATGATTACCAGAATAGGTTCAACTAACATCCATCATCTCGTATAGATAAAAAGAAAAGAAAGAAGAAAAGAAAAAATTTCTCCTTGTGAAGAGAACTCAGGATTTACTCTCTGGACATCTCTCCTCCATGTCACACAGCAGCGTGAACTACGGTCGTCAAGCCGTACGTTACGTCTCTAGTACTGATTTCTCTTAGGGAAATTAATCTTAATACAGTAATTCTTCTCAGTTTCAATTAAATTTAAAAACAAATAAAAAATCTTTAGTTGGAGCCCCATGTATGTCTAGAAGTGTTAAGCACCGTAAAACCATGGGGTGAATTTGACGTGATAAGTGTAATAAAGAGCTATCCTTGTGAGTGGGGACAATTTCAGCATTTATCACGTTACCCAGAGTTTAGAGCATAACAACAGCCCTAAGATCCCTTAAGTCCTATCTTTTTGTCAATGCTTTATTCAATTTAACAAGCATGTGCATATTCATATACGTGTTTCTAAAGCTTAGTTTCTCAAAGCAAGGTCCAAGAAACACCTGAATTATAATCACCCAGAGAACCTATTAAATATGCAGATTCCTGGGTCCCACCTGTCATAGTGGATCAGAATTTCTGGGAGTGGGGCAAGAATCTGGATGTTGTTCAAGCTCCCTGGGGGATTTTGATACACCCTGAAGTCTGGGAACTACGGCGTTAGAAATCACCTTAGTTTAACCTTCTACCAATCAAAAAGGAGCTGTGGGGGCTGGTCCAGTGGCGCAGCGGTTAAGTTCGAATGTTCCACTTTGGCAGCCTGGGGTTCGCAGGTTCAGATCCCAGGTGCAGACATGGCACTGCTTGGCACGCCATGCTGTGGTAGGCGTCCCACATATAAAGTAGAGGAAGATGGGCACGGATGTTAGCTCAGGGCCAGCCTTCCTCAGCAAAAAGAGGAGGACTGGCAGTAGTTAGCTCAGGGCTAATCTTCCTCAAAAAAAAGAAAAAAAAAAGGAGCTGTGGGGCCTCCGTTTCAACACCTCTGGTGAGAAAGCTCTGGCCAACTCCAGGCCACCTGACCCGGGGGTTTCAAAAGCAACTTCCCTAAATTTAACCAGAATTCACCATCCAAAAAACTCCTACCCAGTTCCACTCAATGCCACAAGGAGTGAGTTTATTCCCTCGTCCACACACCAAGGCCCTCAAGAATTTAGGGCCCTTAACACGCGTTCCATCACCCACTGCAATCTTCCCTTTCCGGGTGAAACAGCTCCAGTTCTTTCAACCGTATCGCATATGTCAGCTCAGCAAGAAGAAAGTTGAAGAGCGAAAGGAAAACATTTGGTAAAGATTTAGTTAATAAGCCCTGAAGCCACAAATCTAAATCCCCAGTCATTATAAACCAAGCTCTGATGGAGCCACAGTGGGTCAGAGAGAATATATCTGTTTACAAGTGGTCTAACCTGGACCAAGGACCACAGCTGGGAGCCTTGGGATCCTCACGTGTAAAACAAGGTTAACGACCCCACCTCTGGTTGAAATAAGATTAAATGAGTCACCTAGGATGACTGTCTTTCAAAGTCTCTCCAGGGAGGACACTGCTGCATCTATCAAACTGCCTCCATCAGCAGCCCTAATTGCAGTGAAAGCAAACTCTCAAGGACTAAGTTGGGGCCAAAGTGCAACCCAAAGCCAAAGCAAAAATGTTTTGAAGTTTCTTGCTTTATATTAAGAAAGTATCTAAATTTTGAACTTCAGTCCACAATATATCCGTGATTGTCTGAATATGAAAAGTGATTTATCCTCAAATATCTGGGTAAAATTGACATCCAAGGAAAATCCCCCCCCTTGTTTATTCTGAAGCTTCAGGTGTTCTCTGGCACACAGCCTACCATCTCCAGGGCCTGCCATCACCTTCATCTCTCATGGAGAAGAGCAGGCTTAGTCTGCAAGTGGATGGGCAAGATCGGGAAAACGAATGAGTGCTGGACGTAAACAAAGGAACGGGCCACTGGGTATGAGTCCTGGGAGGACCAGGAGGCTCCCTCCAGATGCTGAGGGCTGGTGTGGTCCAACTTGACTGCGCATGTTACTCTCTACGTTGCAGAGAAAACTTATCCCTAACCAAATGCAAGAAAATCCAGGAGGGAAATTTGTAGACCCCTTGATCTACTAGTTGTGTATTTGGGCATGCTCGTGTCTGTGTCTGTGTGTGTGTGTGTGTCCCCAAAGCAACAGAAATCTGACCTGAGCTGAATGTAGGAGATGTGGCTTTGGCCAGATAGGGCTCTGGGAAGAAAGCAGGTCTTAGGGGGCTATGGTTACCCATTTTCTCGTGCCTGTCCCCTTCCTCTCCTATCTCTCTGTCATCTGAGAATTCCCTGGCAACTAAAGAGCTCCGGTTTGGCTATCAGTAGAGTTACAGTTGGTCCACCATATCTGCAGTTCCACATCCCAGGACTCAACCAATCACAGACCGAAAGGCCTCCAATGCTTGTGCTTGTACTGAACATGTACAGACTTTTTTTTTCCTTGTCATTATTCCCTAAACAATACAGGATAACAACGATTTACATAGCATTTACATTGCACTAGGTATTATAAGTAATCTAGAGATGATTTAACGTATACGGGAGGATGTGCATAGGTTATATCAAATATTATGCCATTTTATATAAGAGACTTGAGCACCCACGGATTTTGGTATCCAAAGGGGTCCTGCAACCAATTCCACCCCAAAATCGAGGGACCACTGTACTTGCAGTGTAAGGAGGCAGAGGGTTCTAGAACTGATGGGCAAAGAGATACATAATTTGGTGAAGGAGACCCTATCCATTCTGTCAGCTGGAGAGAGCAAATGCTCATTTTTCCTGAAAGGTGTGGGTTACTCAGGACCCACAATGCCCCAAACAGCTCAGAGAGGACTTGCACCAACTTGGGGAGCACTTGAAATTAGGCCGATTGTTGAAAAGCAATAACTTCTTTGGTCCCAAAGTCTCCCGCTGGTCAAAGCCATGACAAAAGAGCCAGACTGTGCCAAGTTAAGGACCTCATAATAACAGATGTCCATGTGCCAGGCATAGTGCAGAAGGCATTAGATACACAAGAAGGAGAGAAGCAGTAAGAAACTAGGAGAAAGCAGTAAGTTTCTTAAAAGGAGCAAAGAAAGAATTAAAAAGTAAAACTTGGGTGTTAGTCTGAGTCAGCTCCAGAGAATATGAACTCAATCCTTCCTTTTTTTTTTTTTAAGTTTTATTGAGGGCACATTGGTTTATAACGCTTTATAAATTTCAAGTGTACATCATTGCATTTCGATTTCTGTGTAGACTACATCATGTTCACCAGGCAAAGACTAATTACCATCAGTCACAGGACACACACGCCCTACACCCCTTTCCCCCTCCCTCCTCCCCTCTACCCCTCTGGTAACCACCAATCTAATCTCTGTATCTGTGTGTTTGTTGTTTTTCATCTTCCACACATGAGCGAGATCATACAATCCTTTCTTCTTAATGCCCAAACCCAACACCGTGTTTTTGGCACATGAACTCAGTAGGTAACTGCTCTGGTCTCTAACAGCACTACATCCTGAGTATAACCCGCCCTGGACATCGTTTTCGACGGGGCCAGTGGATAATCCCGGGCTTGCCTCTCGCCCACCGCGAGCCAGTCTCGGGCCGCCGGCTCCCGCTCCGCCCTGTGGCCGCCGGGCCCCGCCCGAAGGCCGGCGACTGGCAACCCCTCTGGGGCCCGGCGCAGAACCGGCCGTCCCCGCGAGGCGCTCGGGGCTGCCGCGCCCCATTCCCGCAGCCCAGGACCCCCCGGCCCCGGGCCCCCTTACCGCTCGTGCCGAGACGGGACGGCGCTCGTCCTCTGCGGCCACGGAGGTCACACCCTCCTGGGGGCCGGGCAGCGGGTCTTATTGCAGGCGGACCCGCCCCACTGCGGGGTGGAGACAGGCCGAGTTCCTGGTCGTTCCTCTGCCCACGGGACCGGAAAACCCTCCGCGGACCGAGCGCACCTGGAGCCGGGGCCGGGACCGCCGCGCAGGGCGCCCAGGGAGGGGCCGGCCTCGCCCCTAGGTGGGGGGCTGCCCCGGGCCGCGGCCTGGCCCGCTGTCCCCGCTCCCAGCCTCGTGCCCGCCCGCATCGCACAGCCCGCCCGGCGCCGCCCAGCCCGGCTCCCGCCCCCGCAGAGAGCTGGACTCTCCGGCCGGTCGGCGCCCGGGCGCCCCCACCCTCTCGGAGGTCTGAGCCCTCGGGCCTCGCCCGCACCCTCCCTGCGCCCGGGAATCCAAACTTCCTCCTAGGAAACTGCACTTTCTCTCTCAACGTCAGGACTCACGTCGAGCCTGTGGCCGGAAGAGTGGAAAGTCAAATCAAAACGGCACACTGCGTTTCCCTTTGGCACGTTAAAACGTGCGTTCCAAAAAGTTCCCAGGAGTTTTACATCTCCCTTGAGGAAAACAGAGTTCCCTTCCCTTGGGGAAGCCTTTGGGAAAGAGGGTCAGGAGCAGCCCGGATCTGTCTCTCTTCCCCTGTAAATTACCAGGGTTGGGCACTGATCAGTAGCTCCGGACTTCGGCCTTGGGGCAGCGCTCCCCTCTTGTAACGCGGTTTTGTGTGTTCCTATCTGCTTCCCCGACTGGAGACAAGCCTCTTGAAGGCACCAGCTGAGTCTAAGGCATCTTTGTACCCGCGCCCAGGACCGTTTCGGGCACATAGGTGTTCAGTGAATGCTTGCAGCATGAATCCGTTGAGTCTACAGGCAAATTGCGATTTTATTTAGCAAAGGGTAGGTAGCTTTGGGAGTGTGTTTGCCAGCCAGCAGACCAAAATCCAGGCGCCTAATTGCACCCTTAAAGCTGGAGAGGTAACATTAAATTATTTCGTTAAGATGTAGCTAAAGGCGCTGGTTTAACATGGTTAAGAGCAAGGATCAGACTGATGGGGATTCTAGACCTGGGTCTGCTTAAAAGTCCTGAGCTTCAGTTTATGAACTTACCTGGAGGAAACAAAATTAACAAGACAAACAGTATAAAAAGAAGGAATTAAAGATAATTCATTTCCTCAGAGAGATTAGAAAGACTATGGCATCCCCTAAAAAATAACAATTAGGCCACCCTAAAAAATAAAAGGTTAGGAATGGAGCAGATGCTGTTAGCACCCGGCTGAGATCACCTCTCCCAGGAGGGGGCCCCCAGCTCACAGCTGCCCCTTTTTCTCCGTAATTGCCCTCAGGCCAGGTTGGGAGGCCACAGGCAGAAGCTGGCTTTTATGGGGTACCAAAGGCCAGGAATAAACCTGTGATACCTTTATATTCCAGAGCTCCCACGGGTTTAGGCTGAGGCTACATTTCAGCGGAAACCACGGCTTCGCTCTGCCTCCCTCTGTGTGCTATTTTACTTACTCGCAGGTTTCTCCTGAGAATACTCCCTCACTAAGGCACTTACACAAGAATCCCGTTCTTACGCTTTGCTTCTAGGGAACCTGATCTAACACAGAGTGTTTTAAAAATTCATACAATTGTTGAAATTAAAGACAAAACGAAGCCTTTGAATTCAAGAGAGCAGAATGAACCCAAACATTTACCTCAGCTCCCTCTTGAAATCCAACTCAAGCAATAGTAGATTTTTTTTTTTAATCTCATAAGAACAAGAGAGGAAAAATAGCAAAACTTTGGAAACTGGAAAGCAGATAGACAGGTGAGAATTGACTTAGCAGACTTGAGAAAACTGATTCCGAAGCCAGGAGTAGGGAAAGCTGAGAAGCAACACGATACTGTAGAATTTCTCAAGATACGTAGGAAACTGCTGCCCCCGGTGTTTCTTAAAGTGGGTATATAGTTAAGACTGAAAACAAGAGGATTGTTTGTAAGTGTGTACAGGAAGCAGTCTCCTCCACCCCCTTCACAGTACTGCTCAGATGCCACTGCCCCTCTCCCGCTCGGGCAGAAGATTGGAAACATGGTCTCTGGAGGAGGTAAAGCAGAGGATCTCTGGAGTGGGGCATACCGGGTGTAGACAAGATGTTCTGGTTATCTAAGGCTGCCGAACAAACTACCCCAAAACTTGGTGACTTAAAGCAATGACCATTTTATTATATCTCATGATTCTGTGGGTCTAAATTTGGACAAGGCTTGGCTGGGCAATTCTTCTGTTCCACCTGGCATCAACAAAGGTCACTTGGTGATATTCAGCTGGCAGATGGGCCAGTCTAGAGGATTCACTCACATGTCTGGCACCATGGCAAGGAGAGCTGGAAGTCTGGTCTCAGCTGGCACTGTGGACCAGAGCACCTACACGGGCTCCCTCCACATGGCAGGCTCAGGGTAGCTAGATTTCCTACACAGAGGCTCAGGGCTCCTAGAAAGGATGCTCCAAGAGAGCCAGGCAGAACTTACCAGGCTTCTTATTATCTAGGCTTGGAAGCCTCTGAGCATTATTTCTGTTGCATTCTCTAGGCCGTGCAAGTCACTAAGGCCAGCCCAGATTCCAGAGAAGGGGCTAAATCCCCTTCCATCTGTGAATGGGGGGACTAGCAAAAAAAATTGCAACCACCTTTAATCCACCTTTAATCCACCACACAAGGTAGGGGAATTGAAGGTCTATTTGAAACTTAATATGATGAATATTGAGCTGCTCAGTGTTCTTCCTTCACTTGGCTTCTGCAACACTGGCAGCCAGGCTAGGGAGTTTGAATACTCTCCTTCAGGGAAAAGTAAGACCTAAAGAACTGTCATCAGTTACTCAGTGAAACTGGAGCAACTGGCAGTAATCAAGCCCTGCTCACTTACACGTGCACACAGAGCTCCCAGGCAGCATTTGAGATTTCACTAGGCAAATTTTAAAGTTTAAATGTAAAGAGATTTTTGAGATTTTGCTAGGCAAAATATAGGACACTTGGTTAAATTGGAATTTCAGATAAACAACAAATAATTTTTTTACTAAAGTATAAAATACTTATATGCTATAAGTCTGTCCTAAATATTGCATGGAACATACACTAAAAATTGTTTGTTGTTTATCTAAAATTCAAATTTAAATAGGTGTCCTGTTTTGTTTTGTTGTATTTTGCTTTGCTAAATCTGGCATTCTTAAATAAGAGGAGACAGCCGAAGGTCATCAGAATTTAAGGGAGGGATCAGGCATGAAACACAGAACAGGAGACTACACGGAGAGAAGAAAACTTTGAAAAATCTATTATCTAGCTCCTTTGAGAAATAAAAATAGAATGCAATAGAATAGATTCTCTAAAAAATGAACACTCTGGGGCTGGCCCTGTGGCCGGGTGGTTAAAGTTCTTCGCACTCTGCTTTGGCAGCCAGGGGTTCACAGGTTTGGATCCCGGGTGCTGACTCATCAGCCATGCTGTGGAGGCATCCCACATACAAAGTAGAAGAAGATTAGTGCAGATGTTAGCTCAGGGCTTATCTTCCTCAAGCAAAAAAAGAGGAGGATTGGCAATGGATGTTAGCTCAGGGCAAATCTTCTTCACACTAAATAAATAAATAAAATTTTAAAAAATTAACACTCAGTGAACCAAACAGAGCTCTTTCAAATTAAAAATATGATAGAGTGGTAGGAAGATAAAGTAGAGGAAATATCCTAGAATGTATAGATAAAAGGCAAAAAGAAGAGAAAGAGGTAAGAAAGCATCAGAAAATTAGAAAGCTCGTCCAGGACATCTGGGAAACTGAGGAGAAGAAATCCATTAAATACTTCAATTGTATATATTTTTAGAACGAAAGGACATGAGTTTCCACACTGAAAGGCCTCACTGAGCCCAAGACAATGGACAAAACCAGAACCACGCCAAGGCACATCATGATAAAATTTCAGAAGACTGGGGACGTAGAGAAGATGTTACGAACACCCAGAGGGAAAAATGAGTTTTCATACAAAGGGCCGAGAACCAGAATGGCATCAGACTTCTCCACAGCAACCCACAAAACTGGAAGACAGTGGAATAAAGACTTTACAAATCAGGGAGAAAATTATTTCCAACATAGATTCTCATACCTGTCCAGACTATCCGTCAAGTTGGGGGTCAATAAAGATATTTTCAGACATGCAAGATTTCAAAAAACTTATCTCCCATGTGCCTTTTCTTAAGAAGCCTTCAGATGATGTGTTCCACCAAAACAAGAAGGTAAACCAAGAAGGTAAAAAAAAAAAAAAGTGAATAGCAGAATGGACAACTGAAAATTGAGTGGCAAGGAAGAGTGGTTAATGCTACCTGTAATTATTATTTCTAATTTTCCTGAACTTTAGAGTATAGCTAACATTTACATAAGCACTTACTATGTGCCAATCTATTCTAAGTGCTCTGGATATACAGTTCTAATCAGTTAATCCTCACAACAGCTCTATGAGTTAGATACTTGCATAGAGTAGATGTCAATAGGTCTTACTGTGTATGGTATACAGTCATTTATTAATCCAACGAAATTGTATCAAACTTTCTGTGGTAGATTGTATTTTTTAAAATTGGTCACAACAATGTGACCAATTCAGTCTTACATGCTTTTCCAAAAACCCTGCCTCCCTGCCCCCAGTCAAGAGATGGCATCTCTGTCCCCTCCCTATGAACCTGAGTGGGCTTCTAAGGTGGCCTTCTAGGGTGGGCTTCTGTGACTGCACAACCAAAGTAATGCCATGTGACTTTCAAGTCTGGGTCTTCAAAGGTGATACGACTTTCATCTAGTTCTCTCACTCAGAACATATGCGTCTGGAGCCCTGAGCAGCCATATAATAAGTACAGCTGCTCTGAAGCTGCCATGCTGCGGAGACCATGTGCACAGCCCAAATGAAGAAAAAGGGAGAGTCGGAGGAGCCCCGGCTGTACCAGCCCCAGCCGTTTGAACTGTCCCAGTCTCAGGGCCAGACATGTGAATGAGGAATCCTTCGAGATGACTCCAGCATCATTCCTGTCTCATGGCAGCCAGGTGAGAGGCCACCTAGCTGAGCCCAGTCAATCACCAGAATCATGAGAGAGAACAACAGTAAGTAATCATTGTTTCATGCCTCAAAATTTGGGGTGTTATTTTATGGAGCAATAGATAACCAGAATACTTCCAGATAAAAGTGGAGGTTTGGCCAAGCCTTCTGAATCTCCCTTCCCAATTCTCATTGAAAAGGCCCACTGCATGTAAGGAAGGGGAATTTTTACCCTGAGTGGCAAGTCTCCTCTATGACACTGGAGATGGCAATCTCAGGAGCATGGCCAGGCCACATCCAGCTTGGCTGCTGGCCAGGAAGGACTCGAGCACAAAGACCA